TATGTATGCACACTTACATATATATATATATATATATATATGTATGCACACTTACACACACATATATATATATATATATATATATATATATATATATACCCTGACTTGACATCTATGAAAGTAACTCTATACTGATACTTATTATTAACACCCAACACACGCCTACCCAATTTAAACAATTCGCCCTACCTGTTACCATGGAAATTATGATTTCAATTATTAAAACACGTAAATTTCAGAAATACGTTATTCCAAAAAAAAATTTCGCTTGAAGATGGAACAGAGCTTACTTTAACTCAATTTAATTCAAATAATTATATTGAAGTTTTCGGCTCTTGTTTTGAAACATGAGATCTCTTATGTCGCAAGTTGGAATCATATTTTAAATAAATAATTATATATATATATATATATATATATATATATATGAAGAAAAATAGTTTTAAGGTGTGCTGTATTTATGGGATAAAGTGCTCAATATCAGAGATAGGGCGTATGTAAATATAAATATAAAGTGAACAATGAAGTCAACACTCAGAGGCGACAGGCTGTTTCATGCTAGGCACAATCGTCAGGCGGCCTGACGATTGCGTCTAGCATGAAACAGTCTGTAACCTCTGAGTGTTGACTTCAATGTTCACGTTTATATATATATATATATGTGTGTGTGTGTGTGTGTGTGTATGTGTGTTCGTGCGTGTATGTGTTTTTATAATTTTAAATGTTATTTTTAGTGGATAATCATATTTGGGTAAACGCTCCGTTTATTTATTAAACACTATATTTATTTATTTTCGTCTACCGGCCTGAATATTCGAGAAATCTTATTAAAGAAAAATATGCGCTCTCGAACCTGCGTTACTCTGGGCAGAGTGAAACCGTCGTTAGATCCGATGAACCTTAATCGACGCTTTGCCGACCAAGGTCTGAGCAGTGCCTTTAAGCGAAATCCTTAACGTCACAGATTCCTCCAAATTACCTTATCTGCTCAGTTTCGTATCCAAAACGCAAAGAAAACAACCTTCTAAAGAAGGAATAGATTTTTTATTAAATAATCCGACAGATTTTTATCATTTTAGGTTTTATTTCTAGTGGATAGGTGAACGCAAGTCTGGAGATGGCCTATTTTCTTTAATAAGATTTCTTGGCTTTTCAGGCCGGTAGACGAAAATTAATAAATATACTGTTTAATAAATAAACGGAATAATTACCCAAATATGAGTATCCGCTAAAATAACGCTTTAATATATATATATATATATATATATATATATATATATATATATATATATATATGAACCCAACCGATTTGTCATCAGTCAGAGATTTTTACCCTGAGCTCAGCTCCCGACAGAGAGGAAGGTGAATTTTTACATATTTATTTTAGAATAAACACACCAGTCATTCACAGTGCTCCATTTATAGAAGAGATTTTGCATCAGCAGTAACAGACACTCTTTACAAATTCGCGCTTTTCCCTCTAAAGTGCTCGACCGAATTTTATTGGGGGGGGGGCGTATATTTGTATCATCCACAGACAGACTGTTTCGCTGTATTACAGTGATTGTCTAGCCACACTGATGAGCTGTGATACAGCGAAACAGACTGTCTGTAGATGGCACATCTCCCCCCTCCACTTTCACGTATACATCTTTTTACCTATTTTTTTTTAAACCTGAAGAAATATTTCTGTTTCCTTCTGGATTTGTAGGTCTGATGAATTGGGACCTTTTTTAAGGGTCTTAAGGAAATAAACATAACCTCATGAAATTTTAGGTGTTCGTGCCTTTTATAATAATAAATAATAATAATGTATATATTTCAAAATATTTTTATCCGACATTATTTTTAATTACTATAAACGCTATTTTTAATGGGTACATGTAATTGAGTTGAGTTTTTTTTTTAATTTATTATATAGATAATTCGTGGCCGAACAGACTTTGGTTAAAAAAAAGTCATGCACTTTTGATTCCTGTCAGAGGAAAAGTTTTTCTTTGGTAGGACTTCTGAATTTAGGCCGGGTTGCTATTATTTTCACTGTTTAAAATCAATAAAAAATAAGAGGGACAACAACTGAGACAGGTGTACCCACTAAAAAATAACGTCTCTCTCTCTCTCTCTCTCTCTCTCTCTCTCTATATATATATATATATATATATATATATATATATATATATATATATATATATATATATCGGGTATTCATTTCTGAACATACCCATCTGCCAGTTATCCATTCAGTCACATTAATATTTTTCAATCCTGACAGCCGAGTACTAAGAACGTTTGCTTTTCGACCATAAAACTCGCAATGTTCAATTTGTCTGGAAGCTGACTTCTTGATGCTATTCACCCGGAGAGGCGGTTCGATCCTGCAGCATTGTTGGAAAGTTCCTGAAAACAGTACCTCGGACAGAGATCTGTTAACTGCCATAGCGATGGGAGTAGCCGTCCATATATATATATATATATATATATATATATGTGTGTGTGTGTGTGTGTGTGTGTGTGTGTGTGTGTGTGTAAAAATATATAGAAAATAGGAAAGAACTCGTTCGGTAAATAATCCAAAGTTCTTTAGTATTTTTGTTATTATTTTTAAAAAATAGTGCTCGTTACAAAAGTAGAGCATAATTATAATTATTTATTTAAAATTTGATTCCAACGCTACTTAAGAGTTCTCATGTTTCAAAACAAGAACCGAAAACTTCAATATAATTATTTGAATTAAATTGAATTAATGTACCAAGCTCTGTTCCATCTTCAAGCGAAATTTTTTTTTTGAATAACTAATTCTTGAAATTTACGCGTTTTATAAGCATATTCATTATTAAAATTAAAATTACTATGGTAACGGCATTTAAACTATTTATTTAGACTATGGAATTTAAAAATTATTTTATTGGTTGTTTGTTTTTATGCTAATTATTCAATGCGAAAATTTGATGATGTCGGCATAAAACCGTTAACTTATGTCTGTTGTTTAATAAATGCCCTACAAAAAAAAAAAAAAAAAATGATAACCTTTTATGAAGTCGTAAAAAAACAAATGTTAGCGACATGACAGTTTTTTTTATATACACAAAAGCCTTTCAGAAAAAAATAAATAAAATAAATAAATCTCCATAGACACTTAACCAGACTAGACGATGGCATCTTCCGCTTTAAATTTAGACAACCCAACCTTACCCTAACTTGACGTCTGTGAATGTAACTTAGATATTGATACAAATTATTAACACCTTACGCCCCTTTTCTAATTGCTCTAGCCGTTACCATAGTAATTTTAATTTCAATAATGAATATGCTTATAAAACGTGTAAATTTCAGGAATTAGTTATTCCCAAAAAATTTCGCTTGAAGATGGCTTGGTACTTTAATTCAATTTAATTCAAATAATTATATTGAAGTTTTCGGCTCTTGTTTTGAAACATGAGAACTCTTATGTAGCGTTGGAATCATATTTTTAAATAAATAATTATATATATATATATATACAGAGAGAGAGCGAGAAAGACAGAGAGAGAGAGAGAGAGAGAGAGAGAGAGAGAGAGAACGGTAAACATAAAGCTATAAACTATATGATAATTTTTAGTTTCATGCTTGAAGCGATTTTAAGACCATGCCTATATTTATAATCTCTATATTTATAAACGTTCGTACCCAGTAAATACAGAAAATTTAACACACACACACACACACACACACACACACACACATATATATATATATATATATATTGTATATATATATTGAATATATTATATTCAATATATATATATATATACAATATATATATATATGCAGCTGACCAAAATCTTAATGGAAATGAAGATGAAGATCAAAATATACGAAAATGAAAATAAAAAAAAGGAAAAATAATTTTTTTTTTTAGCATTTAATAGGGAAAATTGGCTACATACTAGTTGGTCAAAAGTTCAAGACCATATTTGAATGAAGCTTTAATTGGTAAAAAGGTAGCGAAATCTCCTGCGATATCTTAGGGAAAAACATGGAAAATTCAAAAAAGTTGACAGAGTTTGAACGTAGCAGAAATGTCGTGCTGCAGAAGGAAGGTCTCTCTCTCTCATCGTTGGTGAGATTGGGCGTAGTAAAACTGCTGTTGCAAATTTTCTTAAAAGCCCCCCCCCCCAGGGATACTCAACGATAATTTCTAGTGTTCACTACAAGAAAATTTCGTCGGCGTCGAGCAGGATTCGACGGTTTGTCCGGCGAGACACCAACCGATTATTGAAGACGCAGAATGCGGCTCAAGCACAGTAAGACGTCATCTCCGAGAGAAAGCTTTAAAAACAGTAAATGTCTCCCTTGCATTTGCCTTGATTTGGTTAAAAAAAATTAGACGTATTATGTCTATTTATTTCAGTTTTAATCTTTTCAAGTCCAATAATTTATTTCTTGGCTGTAAAAAAATAAGAAAAATTACAAAATTTTCTTTCAAATAATTTTTTATTTTTTCCAGTACTTTCAATCAAATTTGGGACCATCTTCAGGGGTTGTATATCTATGGATGTGTTATGCATTAACACTGTAAATTCGAACTATTGTTACCTCTATGCAAGGGAGGTAACTTATGTAATTTTTAAAAAAGTTTTTTAATTTTTTTTTAATTTAGTATTTTTTATATAACATTTTACTGCTCCAAACATTTAAGAACGTTGTTTCTATACTTGTAGTTCACTTTATTTTTGGTCGCCATTCTCTTATATGAAGGGCTTCCAGAATTTTAAGTTTTTGCTTATTATTATCATGCATTTTTTGACTAATATCTGTTTAAACTGTGAATGTGGACATAAGTGTTCCTTTAAATGTTTTGAGATTGAACCATAATTGTTCAAGTGAACCATGATCGTTCAAGTAAGCCTTCTCGTCATCGTCGGTGTTGTAAAACCAACATACGTATTAACATTTTTATCAGAGATGCAATCTCCCAAAAGGACAATTTAAATTGATATATGATTTTGGTCTTTTGTAAGACGCTAGTTGATCTATCTATCTATCTATCTATCTATCTATCTATCTATCTATCTATCTATATATATATATATATAGAGAGAGAGAGAGAGAATTTTTCAATTTGTGTATGACGATTGTCAGGTGCATGGAACTCAGATTTGAATTATAAGATGAAGTACAAATATATATTTATTATTAGTATCAATTTTAGCTTTGTTATTTTACATCTAGCACTGTTTTATTGCCATCAGCAGTCAGTGTGCGCTATTATCGTTCTCTCTCTCTCATACATACATACATAAATACATATATATATATATATATATATATATATATATATATATATGTGTGTGTGTGTGTGTGTGTGTGTGTACAGAGAGATATATTTCCCAGCATGCAAATAGGGAGATATGGAAATCAACTGAATTGTCATCTAAAAAAAATAATTTGTCCAACATGCTACACGCAAAAGTACGTGGAAATTTTGGATGCAAATCTATGAGAGACAAGAGTGTCGTTTGAAAATTGGCGCGAAGTAGAAAATAGAAGATAGTCACGTGCACTGGAAGTCGAGTAATCTTCTTAGGCTGCAGATGAAAATAGATTCCAAATCGTCTTCCTTATCCTCTCCCTTCAGGAATTGTCAGAACGACAGAACGTCTTAAGTCAACTCGGCTTGCTTTCTTTGTAGACCGTCGGGTACCAACACAACGACGTGCTGCGTCGCCGCTTAGCACCAAGAATTTCTAAATCCGTTCAATACATTGCCAGGGCTTGGCCGATTTTATGTCAATCTCTGCATAACCATTGATGGGATTGCCTGGTGTTTGATAGAATTGCAGGTATTCGTCCGGCGTCTGGATGTTCGAGTCTAGGCTAGAACCAAAAGTTCAAGTGTCGATTTTCAGGGGACGGAGCTCTTTACCGTTTGAAAAATTGTGGCAATATAGTCTTCGTACTTAGAGTCTATCATTAATGTACTTGTAAATTCCGAAGTCCCAGTTTGGAACTAAAATTTCGTTCTCAGGGACTCTTTCAAAATCAACAGAAAACTAGCACCAAAAACAAGTCTTAAGTTATATTTTCTTTCTTTCTTTTTTCTTTCTTTTTTCTTTCTTTCTTTTTTCTTTCTTTCTTTCTAGCTAGAAATCTAGTCACCTATTGCAGTTAGCTGGAATCTGTATCTAGTCAGTTTAGCTTTCCCCTTTATAGTCTATTTCTACCTAACGTTTACCATAACTCTTAGGATGTTTATAGCGGTCAACAAGTTCTATTTTATCTATCTATCTATCTATCTATCTATCTATCTATCTATCTATCTTAGTCTGTTCATATCTGTCTATTCATTTATCTGTCTCTCACTTTATCTTACTTTATTCATATCTCTCTCTATTTAATCTATTCATATCTCTCTCTTTCTCTCGCGCTTTCTCTCCCTCACTCTCTATCTTAGTTCGTATCTCTCTACCGCACTCTTTCAATCTATTCATATCTTCCTATTTTTGTCTCATCTATCTATCTATCTATCTTAGTCTGTTCATATTTGTCTATCTATTCATCTGTCTTTTTCTATCTTAGTCTGTTCATATATCTCTCTATTTATCTTAGTGTATCCACCTCCCTCACATTCTTTCTCTCTTTCTCTTTCTATCTTTGTTCATCTCTCTCCCCAACGCACACCCTATTCTATTTTAGTGTGTTCATATCAACCTATCTTAGTCAATTCGTCTACCTATCTTTCTTTCTCTCTCACTCTTTGTTAATCTATCTATCTATCTATCTATCTATCTATCTATCTATCTATCTATCTATCTATCTATCTATCTTTTTCGATCTAGCGCTAACAATCTATTTCAGTTAAATAAGTCCTTAGTTTTGCTTTTATCCACGTAGTACATTCTTCGGGTTTGTCATTGTTAACCTATATTTTGTCCCGTTTCATGAATCAGATGCTCCATCAAAGATGAAAACTTTCACGAAGAAATCAAAGAATCTAAATTGAAATTGTTCTTTTATTATGAAATATAAGGTCTACCAGCATCGTAGCTCAAAGCCATGGATCGCTAGATAATATTATTTCATCATTGATTTGTTCGGTTTATTTTGTTTCATGGCATATCAAACTCAATGGGTTATTTAGTGCCGACAAAATTTTAAGGATAGGTTCGTATGAATAGAATATGCATTCTTTGTAAGAAATCTGTTTGAAGAGGATTTTTGTCGAGCGTCAAATGTATTGCTAGCAATTTTTTTTCAAAAATTTATTGCAGATAATATTTCATTTTTTTAAAAATAATATATTGCTGGTATTTTGCTATACTTTTATAGTGTTTTGACTCCAGTTTTGGGATTAATTATTTGCCCATAGCTGGGACCCTAACAGATGCTATCACCCCGGTTCAGGGTTGACCTGGGAACAACAGCAATTAAGAGATAGTTCCACGCCCCTAAAAACCTCCGGATCAGAGGTCTTGCTGCCGGATGTAGTTTATCGTCATACCCAGGACGTTTGATCATTGAAATAGGTCAATTAATTTATATGAATAAAAGACGTATGCTGTGAATTTGACGTTATTAATATGAATGCGACAATATAATTTTGTTTAACGGCATATCTACTCCTTATTAATCATTTAATGTCGAAATTTAATTTTCTTGGGAGTAATAAAAATAAGATATGTTATTCTGCTTTCGCAGCTGACTACATGGTAGATGATACTCAGCTTTTGTCCATATACATGTTTGTGTGGACGTAATTACTAGAGGGGGTGATATGTTATATTTTGTAATGCCGTTTGATTTCTTTAAGTGTCGGATATTATATGAGTTAATGTCATGGAAGAGTTTTTCATGTTGGCTGTTTGGTTGATTTTGTTTAGTGGCATATCAACCATTATGGGTTATTTAATGCCGAAATTTAACTATTTTTAGTGCAATTTTATGCATTCAACTACAGATAAAATATATTGCTGGTCATTTTACTATAAATGTGCATTCTTATACTTCCATAGTGTTTTTTTTGGGGGGGGGGTTCACTATTTGCCCATATCTAGGATCCTAACAGGTGCTACTACTCCGGGTCACAGTGCAGCAATTAAGAGGCGGTTCCACACTGGACAAAACCTCCAATCTTGCTGCTGGATGTAGTTAATTTTATCAATGTCTTGATAGCAAGCTCAGAATAAAACTGAAAGAATTAATGGGTAAGGTATCAAAGGAAAACAAGAAGGAAGAACTATTAACTTACAAAAGACAGAATATATGGTTGTCAACAAAAGAGGTAACGCAAGCTGTGAACTACATATTGGGGACGTAAAAAAATTATCTAGCATGACACAATGAATTAACTTTACGAGCAGCAGACCTCGCAATTGATTCAATATACTCACTTCATTTCATGCCAGTGGGAAACATAAGCCGAAGAAAGCGCAAAGAGTTTATCTCTTTGTGGTTAGCATCAGCCATTCTGGTAGCAGTCAGAAAAATTTCTCTATGATGATTAAATGAAAGCATTTTTGTTTTTGATGTTTTAAAATTAACAAGCCATTCCTTGTCCTAGTTAACAATTGATAATTTTCGAGAACAGCTACCAGTTCTACTTTGTTGGACCTGTCTGACTTTTTACTAAGACAAGAGCAAATAGATGTGTCATCAGCATAAATACCTAGTTTGGAAATTAACAAGTCCAAGGATAGAGACTGGGGGAGCACCTAAAAGTAAGTATCTATAGTAAATCTTCTAATAAAAATGATCTCATAAATTTATGAAATAATTTCCAAAATCCGAAAAAATTATCAGATTCTCTTATACAGTATAAACAAACCTAATAAAACTAGGCACATTAGAATATGTACAAACTGTATCACAACTAAAAATAATTTATCTAAGTTTAACATAAAATTTATTAACTACTTTTAAATCAATAGGAGACTTTATATAAAACAAAATAAAAAAAGGAATATACACTATATGGGGTGATGAATAAATTGTCGTCTAAATTGCGTAAAAATGAAAATAATACTGACACTTCATTTTAAAAGATATATTTACCAAAATGACACAAGAATATCTTGAAATATTAAAGATTAATTTATTTAATAGAATAGGCCTCTAGACGACTTCAGGATCTCCTGCATCTCTTCTGGATGGTCACCTTGTTTAAGTTGATGAATGGTGCCATAATCCTTGCCTTCAGTTCATCTTTGGTGTTGCAAGGAGTTTTGTTGGTCTCTCGTTCAACTGCATCCAACATATAATAATCAAGGGGATTGCAATCTGGGGTGTTAGGTGGCTTTTCGTGCTAGGACAATCATCGACGGCTCCCAAAGGGTACCCTCTACGCAGTTTCACTCACATGGCTCGGGTCAACCTGTGGAATAGTTTTCAGACTCTAGATCGATAGCATCAAGAAGTCACTTTCCTCACAAATCGACCATAGTGAGATTCGAATCAGTGTTTCATGATCAGAAAAACGAATGTTCTAAACACGGTCACCTATTATATATATATATATATATATATATATATATATATATATATATATATATATATATATATATATATATATACAATAAATAAGAATATTAGTCCGTCTGATGAAGTTCTTCCAGAGTGCAAAATGCGTTACACAGAATTTTTCCTTTTTGTCATTCAATTACATAACTTTTTTGATATATAGATATTTATATATCATATTCGCCTAGTATATATTATCTATTACTATATACATAATGAGTGAATAAGTCATTACTCATTTTAGATGACATCAGTGAAGCCATTATTATTATTATTATTATTATTCCTAACAGATGCACGAAGATATCTTCATTCTTTCTCTTTCACTTTCTTAACTTTTCTCCTGGAAAATCTAAACTCTTATATTAAGAACACGCAATCAAGAAACCGCAAATCCTATCCACCATCCTTTTATCGCTCTTCCTAAACAAAAATCCCCAAACTAACCTGCGTACATTATGTGCTCGGTTCCCACCAATCTGACAGCACGCGAAAAACCCGGTTGCAAATAGTCGTCTGTATTGATTGAGGTGAGGCGTGGAACGCGGAACGTGACCCGCTGCGGTTTCCGTTAGAGTGAATGGAGGAGACTCGCATGGCAACCTGTATTCGATCAAGACGTTTTTTGGACTCGCATGTGTTTAGAAAGAAACTGGAAAGCAGCTTGAGGAGGACAAGCAGAGAATCGTGGTCCACCGAGCCACGTCTTCGTTTATTTTTTATTGGGGAGGGGGGTGCAGGCGAAGATGGCATAAAACTAAAACAGACTCATCAATTAAGGCGGTCTGATTGGTTGTAGTAGATTATTAGGGGTGTTTAAAGATGATTATGAAGTTATTTATTACATTTGAGTCCAGAGGATTTTACATGCTTATATGCGACAGAATGAAAATTTCTTCCCTAGAAAAGAAAACCCGCAACAGTGTGCCAGTTTTTGTAAATTTTACATCCAAACATGTCCCAGCGAAAATAATTTTGTCTTTTATCTTCATCTGTACTAGCATAAATATTTTTGTCTATATTTTTGAGATGAAGTATTATGTACACTATTTACATTATTCGGACTATTGTCCTTATCTTTGTTGCCATATTTATCACAATGTTCCGGCCGTTGTACTCTCTGGCCACTGCACGCTCCTGGCTTCTTCAGGTGGTTGGAATGTCGAACTGAACCCTTTATTTCGCTCGCTGGGTTGGACTGTTCTAGTTCCACGTGCCATGTCTAATGGATGTCAGTTATCAGTTATCTCCTGTTAATTCACCTTTCCAAGTTCTCCACTACCTTAACTCATAACTCTTTGGGTCGGACTTTTTTTTAGTAGGATTTTTTGATCATTCATTTAATTGATTAACAATAGAAAATAAATGAAAACACAGAAAAAAAAAAACTCAAGTACATAAGCCACGTGAGACTATCATGGGCGGAGAGTGTAAGCAAGGAAAATGTCTTAAGGAAAATACTCAGAATAAGAGAGACAATAGAAGAAAAAAAAAACAATCCAATATAACGATTAAGGGGGATGTGGAGAACTGGAAACAATCTTAACGAACCTAGTAAAACAATTGGAAAAACTTGATATTCCGAGGAATAATTGAAACAACCCAGACTATAATAACAGAAGTGCCGGTAACGGTTGGTATATTTACTAGAGATCTAAGAAGACATGATGTCATTCAATACCCAACGATAACTTATCTAATGTGAATATGAAAATGTAATAATAATAATAATAATAATAATAATAATAATAATAATAATCGCGAAAATGTGGCATATGGGAACATCAACAATCCCTGTTGTAGTTGGAGCCCTAGGACTTGTTGGAAAAGATTCCAGTAGACTAATTGAAGGGATACCTGGAAGTCCATGCCTCAAGGAGATACAGAAAATTGTTCTGACAAGTACAGCCCACACCTTACGAAGGGCTTTATCTATGTAATCTTTTTTTTTTCATTTTTTTTTTTTGTCAGTGGAAAGTGTCATGACGCCATTTCTAACCTTAGGTCCCTGGGCGGGACCCGGAAAGAAATGTGCAAACGCCAGAAATCAAAGAAAATAAAAATGATAATAATAATAATAATAATAATAATAATAATAATAATAATAATAATAATTGATCTTCTTGTATCATGTTTTACGGTATAGGCACCCACTGTATACAAACAACTGATTATCTTGTATCAAGTTGCACGGTTTTGGCACCCACTGAATATAAAACGCGGCATGACTGAGTTAGCCAATATCTGCACTGAAAAATCTCTAACTTCTACGGGGAGGAAACTGAAGGAAATTGGTATGAACACCACCCAGATCCGTTCACCTGTTACAATTTTATGGGACTACAC